ATTCTGAGAATTAAAATATTCTTAGTAATTTTAGAATTCTTAGAATTCTTAGAATTCATAATTTTCTTAGAAAAAAATATCAAGAACACCAACTTGAAGTATTCCATGAACATTGCCCATATCAGCTAATCATTTATAGACCTGAATAGGAATCGTAGATTCAATACTCTGTATCATCATTGCTCTACAATAATAAGCAAATATCTTATTCATCTTTTCAATCTCAATTCCATTTTGATAACAGTTACTGACATAAGTCAGCAATAGCATTATTTTTTGCTTATATATATATTTATTTGTCCACTTGCCCGTAATTTATTTTTTAAGTAATTTGCTATTTCATTTAACGGAGACTATGAAAACAAATTTTTGCTTACTTTGTTTTTTGTATTTAGGTACGAAAAATGAGCAGTAACAAAAAAACTACCATCTCTAAGAACAAGAAAAATAAGACCTTCAACTATTCTAAATCAAAACGACAATACAAGCTGAGAGAATTTTTATCTTATGATGAGACCTGGGGAAAAATGTTAAAAGAAAACCTAGAGCGTGATAGAGACAATGATGATAATGATTGGTTAGCGGGAGGAAATGTTAGATCAAATATAAACCCCACCTAACCCATTAAGGGTATTTTTTATTATATAATAAATATATATATTTTTTATTTGTATATTGTTGTTCCGGCAATATTTTTATGAAATAAAGAGGGGGTATCTATTACTAGTTTAGCTTATGTGAGTATTCTAGATCTAAAAGGTCATTGCTTTGCAATAGATATATGAGATACACATTCATTTTGATACTTCTTTGAGAGCTTAACACTTAAAGCTCTTTGTTCAGCTAACTCTGGAGATATTCCATTTGATACAAAATTTTTATATGCTTGTATACACCAATGACCATATGGCAAACTAGTTATTTTATCAAATAATATCCAACACTTAGTATCTATAGAGCAAAGAGCCTTCTTTTCTGATTCAACCAAAGATAATATATGGTCTTTTGATCGGATACATACATTCTTAGCATGGAATACTTCATTACCAAAGAGACAGTCTCGATAAACTAGAGTCATAGGATCTGCTTCAGTTCGTATAGCCAAATCCTTGACTTCTTCTTCTGATAATAATGATATATCTATTGGATCATCTAGCAAAGACCCTTCTAAAGTTGGCATATATAAGTTTGTAGCCATTTCACTCATACCCTTTTTGCTAACTCCTTTATGCTTAGACTTAGTAGACTTATCTGCTAAGACATAGTGGTAA